TGGTCTCTTCCAACTCTATGGTTCTATGATTCTATGATTCTATGAAATAATACAGCTTTACACCACTTTAACTGCCATGGCTCAGTACTATGGAATTCTGGGGATTGTTGTTTTGTGAGATATTTAGCCTTCCCTGTCAGAGAGTTCTGGTGCCACAACAAACTGCAGTTCCCAGAATTCCCTAGTGTTGAGACATGGTTCAATGGTGTCAAGATGGATTAAATTGGTGTCAGATTGGATTATTTCTGCAGTGTAGATGCAGCCTACCACTCTGGAAACCGGGGTTCAAATCCCTGCTTGGCCATGGAAGCCCACTGGTAACTTTGGGCAAGTCACATTCTCTCAGTCTCAGAGGAAAGCAAACTTTCTCTGAAAAAATCATGTTAAGAAAACCACATGACAGATTCATCTTGGGGTCACCAAAAAGTTGGAAATCATTTAAAGACACACAACAAGAAGGTACTTTTCATTTCGCAGTTTTCTAATGTTTAACATGAAAAATCTATACTTGGTATTATAGCTTCTGCTCTTTCCCTGGATTTCCACTGAGAGGAACAAGCTCTGAATGTAGCCTTCCATAAGGAACAAATGACCCATGCCATCCTTACCCTTGTTAAACAGAGCATTGTGCCAATCATCTGGCTCTGATCATTAGACTCTGGGAAACACCTCCGCAAACCTGCTTCTTCAGCAGACTCACTCCTCCATTCCTGGCTCACTGTGATTCATCTACAGCCAACAGAGACTGATTAAAATGGACAGGCAAACCAGGCATGGAAATGGCTCCAGTTACAGGGCCAGAATTATGCTGTGACAATATTCAACATCTAATTGGTATCCTGCTCTTTCTTAATCAATCTTTCTAAATATACTCATTCTTGAATGGCGGGTCAAAACTTCACCAGAAATAAAAATAGCGACCTTGTTGGTGGGGGTCCAGTTGTAAAACTGAAATCTCATGAAGTGGCATGCATGCACACACGCATTCACACACACACTCATCCCATGGAATTTAGCTTAAATCAGGGATAGGCAACCTTTCCCCTTTAAGGGCCGAGGGACTTCAGCTCCCAGAAGCCTCAGCCATGCTGGCCAATAGTCCCATGTTGGCCAATAGCTCCTGGGATTCTGGGAGCTGAAGTCCCTCCTTGGCCCTTAAAGGGGAAAGGTTGCCTACTCCTGGCTTAAATAAAGGTGTCAGGAAGGAAGTTTTTGTTGAATGACAACAAAAGACTAGATTACTCTGATAGACCCTGCATGAGGTTTCCTCTACACAAGACAGTGCAGAACTTCCAGCTCTACAAAATCAGAGCCTGGAACAGTTTTTTTTTAAAAAAATTGCAACTTCCACAGTTCCTTAGCCAATTGAGAAGAACAAGCTCTATGTTTGCTAGAGGATACTGAGAGATTCAGTCCAAAATAGTAACTGTCCAGACAACAGCAAAAGGTCTGTTCCGACATCAGCAACCCTTCTCCCCAATCCAGTTTATAGGCATACAGCACTTTACACTTTACAACATACTTCATGGGTTGGCTATTTAGAAACACCTGCTCTGGCTATCAAGTCATTTCCTAAGTTCAATAAATTTTTGCATCTATCTATCTATCTATCTATCTATCTATCTATCTATCTATCTATCTATCATTAGCATGCCAGAAATCTGTGTAGTGCTTAAAGTTCTGTTTTATGACAAAATCACTTATGTAGGATGCTACATGGAAGTGTTTTTTTTTCTTTTCCAATCAGCACCATGTTCTAAGCATTCCTAGAATCAGAAAAACAAAATATAAATGCTAGAATCCTATATGGCCATTGTGTACTATGTAACAGCATAACAATGTTGCTATTCAGTGAATTCTGACATAAACTTGCCCCCAAACACCGCTTACTAGTAAGCAAACACCAGGAATGACAGGGGTCCATTTCCCTGTCTGATATTCCCAGCCCATCCCTTGAGAGATGTCTGGCACAATAGATGGGGAAAGGACCTTATCACAAATCCCCCTCATCTTGGAGATGACTTGTGCAAGGGGGGATTGGGAACATTGGATAACTGCTTCCTGGTCAACAGAGGAATGGATTCTTTCAATTACAGCAGCAGCTTACTCAAAAGTGGGGTTTAGGAGGCTTTCACTAAACTAGCGGCAGCATAGAGAT